CCCCCAGTCCTCCCAAGACCTTCTGCTTTCCAGCTTCCTCATCAACTCCGCCCATGCTCGCCTCCAGGACTTCTCTAGAGTCTTTCCCATCCTCTGGAACTCTTTTACCCCAACCTGCCCGTCTATCTCCCAACTTGATTGCCTTTAGGCGATCCCTTAAGACTCATCTCTTCAGGGAAGCCTATCCCACCTCAACCTAACCGCTCAACCATCACATTCTCAAACTAGTCATCCCCACGCAGCTACTCCTCATGTATCACTTCCCCCTCCCTTTTAGATTGTAATAAGCCCTCAGGGGCAGGGCCCTCCTTACCATCTTGTCTTGAATTGTATTGTGACTGTGATGTCTTCCTTACATTGTAAAGCGCTGCACAAACTGTCGCTATATAAATCCTGTTCAATAATAATGTAAAATCTCTGCGTACCTTAAAGTGACATTAAACCCTCAGATTTTTTAACATAAAACAATACTGTAATGTGTGCCTTACTGTAATCCATGATTGTTTCCCTTCTCTTTGCTGCTCTTCCTTTTAAATCCTCATGTCTTCTCATGCTGGGCAGAACTTCTGTTTTGCAGCAGACTGCCTTGTCTCAGGAATGGATAATACGGTGTCTGTGTATTAGTTTCTATAGGCTTGTAACCTGAGCCAGCACTACAGGAGGAGGCCCTGAGCTGCAAAGGGAAGTTCTGCAGAGCATGAGAAGACATGAGGATTTAAAAGGAAGAGCAGCAAAGAGAAAGGAAACAACCATGGATTACAGTAAGGCGCACATTACAGTATTGGTTTATGTTAAAAAATCTGAGGGTTTAATGTCACTTTAAGGTACCCATTAACCACATTTGTGCTGCAGTTGATGTTATGGTGTCTCTCCGGTCCTTCACATATAGGGGGAGGGGAGGTGTTTGTAAAAAAAAAATAAAAAAAAAATACCAAAGTGGTAGTTTTTACCACGTGAGGTGGTCAGATGACAGCTATCACCTTCTGAAGACCAGGTGTTTTGCTTCCAGCTCTTTCAATGACATTGGCAGTTAATCAGTGTGGTACATCTAGGCATAAGTACAACCTGGAGAGGGAGTGCACCTCTAAATTTCGGCATAGATCAATTCCTCCAGATCATGGATAGGGATGTTTCGGTATCTTTTTCCATGAATAAATTCCTGTCATCACTATATAAAGCAATCGCGTATCTAAACCCTCACATTTTTTTTGCATGTATCTACTGCTAGCATGCAGTATATATAAATCCAAAAAGTTAAAAAAAATAAACGCTTTAACAAATGTTTAAACTTACCCTGTCTTCGCCGCGCGCTCCCGCCTGAAAATCCGAAACTGCTCGGGCAGCCACAAAGAATCTTGAGGCGGGCGCATGCGCAGTTCGCATTTTCAGCCGGGAGACGAGGAGAGGCGCAAGGTAAGTCTATGGACGCCTGCACCCGCATGCAGACACTGGAAGTGCCAGCAAGGACAGAGGAGTCAGCGCTGGATCGGATGCACGTTCCAGTGCTGAAGAGAAGGCTGAAAACGACCGGAAAGAAGAGGAAGATCGTTTTAAGAGACCTCATGTAAGGTAAGTGCTGACATTAACATTGGGGGGAGGGAAAACATTTTTTTGACTTTAATGTCACTTTAAGCATTAAAAATCATTCCTTAAGCTTTATCCAGTAACTCTGCCTAGGCTGAGATGATGCCATTAGTGTGCTGCAGACGGGAGGAAGCCACACATTGGGATTTATATGATTCAGTCACCTCTGAGCCAGCATCTCGGTCCAGGAAGTAGATGATGAACAAAAGACGGCTCTGTCCATCTTCTATATCTGATGTTAAGACTTCTTAAGTTAGAGTAAAAAATGCCAAAGGCAGTTGTATTCCCTGAAACCGGAATGCACAACATATATACGCTTGCTAGCCTTATGGAGGTTCAAACTTATATCAAATGAAGTACATCAGGACAAACAATACAAGGTCAGATATATCAGTTAACCTCTCCTGGCCACCTTTTACTTTATGCCATGACACATGGCACTGGTGACACATCCGTGTACATAAAGCACACATCCTGAAGTGTTTCGGTAAGCCTTTGCGGCCGTTATGTGTTCTCTTGAATGTCCCACTTGCAATAAGACAGGCTTTATAGCACAATTAGGTGTAATAGCGGGAGATCTGCTGTCCTCTCTCCTCCACGTTGTTTGTGACTGCACTTCAGCCTCATAGCATGGTAATTGTAGCCTGGCTTACTGGGAAAACAATTATAGAGGAGAGAAAGCTTAAGACGATGAATCTGCCAGGGAGATAATCACGTTATGAAAAATGTATGCTGATGGATTCATTAGGAAGCGCTCACGCTGCCCTCCCGTGAAGATACTGCAGTTTATTGGAGCAAATTGAGGGCTGAATTCTCGCTCTGTAATAGATGATTATAAGGCTTGCTCAGGGCGTTTGCACCACCATAAAGAACTGATTATGGTTTCATGTAAAGTCTCTGGTATAAATTATTGTTGTGCATTGGCTCTCTTAATGGGAAGGAGGCTAGGTCACTCTATTAATTACAAGTCTTTGTGAAGAAAAGTAAAAGGGACACCAGAGTCAATGGAAGAAATAGATTTACAGTGTGTGGATTATTTTCAGTGGATCGCTATTGTTTTCTTCAAATTGAGTCAACGCAGGTTTTTTTTGTGACAATGAGACTGTCACAGGTCGGCTCAGTAGATTGGGAGGTGAGCGAACACATACCGCAGTTAGCTCCCCTCTCGATCCTGTCACGGCTCTCTGGCGTGACAGGGAGGGCTGGATTCCCCCCTCCCCGCTGCGACCCTCCAGCGCTGACTGGGGGAGGGGGCGGGTACAGCTGGCTCTGCCTCTAGATAGGCAGAGCCAGCTGTCACTCACGCAGCTGGGCGGATCCCGACGTCCAGGTCGGGTTCCGCTCCGGCTGCGGCGTCTCAGTATAACGCGAGCTGTAGCTCGCGGTATACTGAACCAAGGATGTCG